CCCCCCCCCCCCCCCCCCCCCCCCCCCCAGATCTCTATAAATACCAACAAAAGGGTCACATCAACCTGGGCACAGAGAGAACTGCTCCTGTCTGTGCTCCTGCACTCTGAAGATGCCGGTCACAGTTGCTGGCGAAACATTAGGAAACAAAACTTCAAGAACACGGCCACACAACCTGGAAGACCCACACCAGCCATCGTTTCAGTAAATGTTTATTTATGAAATTATAGCTGATTATAAAGAGACAGCCTTCACTGTACTTCCCCTGATCCAGATAACCCTTTATCCCTTATATGCCTGCATGGTGCTTAGACTTGGACTTGTAGGCTCTTGGACTTCTCTGGTATGTCTGGCCCCACCTGCAGCATCTACGCTTTAACAAATGTGAACTTGCAAAGGGAAACCCTACGCAACACAACCCACCAGCTCTCCAGGAGATCAAATCCTTCCCCATCAGGTACCTGCATCTGAGAAAGCCTTCATGCGGTGATCACTATGCATAAGCATTTTCCCTGTGAGTACACAGATGTAAATGTTGGGGATACCTGCATGACTTGGGGCCTTGTTGTGTGAGGCTGCATCCGTTGGGTTTATGCAGCACCCTGTTTTTATTATATGAAGGTGCGTTAAGGAAACACGGATGTTTGAATTCAATGTAAAGCTCCTGAATGGCATAGAATTAAGTTATCAGATGTTATTCTGAATATGATTTTGTTTTTCATATGCAAAGTCGTTTTCAGCAAGCTTGCCATTTGCTGGGTGTGTTATGGTTTATAAAATAAAAAAGGAGGAACTAAAAGGAAAATACAGTAAGCATGAGACTTCCCCACCGTGCTGACTGTGCCGCAGGGCTCTTCAAAGCTCCTAGCAGCCGGGGGCGGGGGGCAGTATAATATCTCTCACTAGAATTGCTGAGAGCTAAATTTATACTGACACCATTTTGGCTTTGATCTAAATGAATCAAATTCACAGTTTTACCATATTGCATGTTAAACCATTTTTCTTAATCCAAGTGCCTAGCTTTTGATAAATTACCTGCTCATTAGTTTGATACATTAAGAAAATGCTGACATAAAATTTACCACACTTTGACAACAACTATAGAAGACTTTGGTTGCAAACAGAAATAGAACAAAATCAACTCTAAGTGGTTTGGTAGATGCAATAGACATAAAATATCTTGATTTCAGTATGAGTAATGGTTCCTGTCTGAAATTAAAATGTGAACTTAAGGACCCCATGCCTTTATCATTTTATAAAGACCCTGGATGAGACTTTAGACTGGATAATACATTGGCAGAGAAGGTAATAAAGAATGGATAGCTAATACCACAAAAGCTGAAATTAAGATTGAAAATGATGGTGACATGCTAGAATAAAAAACCAAAATCAGCAAGATAAAGTTCAAAGGAGATTAGCCCCACCATTGCTGGATTGCAAAAATGTGGAAGCCCACTAAACGGCAAAGACACAGAAAACTCACTCGTGGTCTGGACTTTTGCAGCTCACCTATGCTAATGCTGATGTAGGAAATGGTGATTTTGGGCCAGTCCCTCTCTCTCAGCCCTAGGAAGGAGGCAATGGCAAACCACTTCTGAAATCTTGCCAAGAAAACTGCAGGGATTTGTCCAGGCAGTTGCCAGGAGTCTCAATCAATCAATCAATCAATCAATCAATCAATCAATCAATCAATGACTCAATCGGGACTTTAGTCCTGCATTCAGTTAACAGTTCATTAAATAAAAATAATCAGAGGTACAAGAATATGTGAGATCAGATCAGACGCAATGCCTGAAAAAAGGTGCCTTAATGGAAACAAATTTGAACCTGATCCTGAAGTTTAAAGACCTTAAGTTGCAATAAATCCCAGACCACAGAAGTAAAAACTGCTCTTTGTCCTTGTCCGGTTCTGGATGCCATGGTTTCAGAAAAGACTTTTTGATGAACATGGCTAATCAGATGAAGGGTCTTGATGCCATGTCCAGTGAAGAAAGGTTTCAAAGAGCTGGGTTGTGCTTAGGCAGATGAAGAGATGTTGGGGGATCAACTTGCTTAAAGAGAACCCATATCTGTACAGTTCCTCTGAAATCACCCCCAGGTGCCTTGTTCTCTGGCACATCGTGAAGTACCACTAGGTTGGTGGATACTAGACACTGGGACTTTTCCATAGTCCCAGCGTCAGGATGCCTGACCTTTGGGAGGATTGTGTAGCTCCCTCACAGATAACTTTTAAGGAGAAGAGATGTTTTCTATTCACTTAACAAACATCATTCTTGTTTTATTTTCTTATTGGTTTTCTTTTCTTTTTCTTTTCTAGTGGATCAGTTATCCTTGTACTGCCTTATTGCTTTTTCTGGCCAAGCAACATGAAGCAAAGGGCAGGATATATGAAATCAGAGGTGTCTCAAAGCCTCAGTTACAGCTTCTGAAGACCTCCAAAAGTTATTGCCAGTAGAAAGGGGGAGATATATTATAATTTTAATCAAATGCAAATAAAAGTCACCTTAATTTTTGTCCTGGTACGGTGGCGCACTGTTCAAAACGTAAGAGAGCCAGGGCAAAGAGTGGGCCTACTGACGTCATTCAAAGGCCAAGTGAGCTGTGCGGCTTGCAATGAAAAAATACATACAGTACTTGGAAATAAATCCCATTGTGTTCCATTGGATATGTATGCCTGTGACTGCCTTACTGAGAAACCGATGGGATTGGCTTCCAGTACGGCTAGGATTCCCGACCTCAGTGAGGGGCTGAGGCGATTCACTGTCCCGGGTCAGGGCGCTGAGGTTCCCCCAGGACAGGGCGAGCTCGCAGCGGAGCTCCTTCGGCTCGCCGGGGTGCGGCCTCCGCTGGCGCAACC